TTTGCCCGATCCGCCCCTTGCCCGGCAGTCTCACTTGCGACCACTCGGCCAACGAGGAAGACGTCAACAAACATAAACTAAATAATAGTTAGTGTTTTAGCCTGTCCGTCAGTGAAGCTAGTCGCTCGTTCCAAAATGTAGATTTGAGTGGAGTTATTATTTAGTCCACTTTGTTAGTTCACTGATCATAAGCGCTATTACAGGACAGGATTTTTTTAAGGGGGGAAAATCATCGATTGACTGCTCCCGGCTGGGTGAAGCGGGAGAGAGTGTCAGACTGACTAAAAACCACCCCGTTCCTTCTCCTGCACGTCGAGCCGGAGCCCCGGTTACCCGTTAGGTTCTCCGCGACATTACAGGACAGGATAGGACAGTCTTAAGGTACTGTTGCACCTGCTATTTCAAGCACGAAAGCATGCTTCACTTAGTGACGCGTGTTAGTATGCTCAAAATTAGTATGCTCATATCAGCCATGTTTGCGAATCGACAGGCGTGCGATTTTTGAACTTTTGAGGATGCTTAATAGAATGCTTATTAGCATGCTATATTAGAACATTTGTAACAGTACCTTTAAGTTTGATACCCGACTTTGGCAAAGTTTGACTGAGATTCGATTTTAATGCCTTGAAATTCTGTCGGATTTACGTCGACAGGTACACCTCTAAGGACCATATCGCACCTTTAGTAATAAACCGTAATAAGTAAAAAAACCGGGATATTGACTTTCCGTCATAAAACGTATTAAAATCGTGTAACGAATACAACAGTCTAACAGGCAATTTCGATTTGCACGCGCAGAGTGAGTGAGGTATCGTCCATCTTGGTGAGATAGAGGTATCGTCCTCTCAAAAAATTGTGGTTGTTTGAAAACATTCATATACCTATTGATAGCTAATTTCATTACTTACATTAACCACTAACTAGAATCATTGTAATCGTAATCGTCCTTTTGTAGTTCGTAAAAATATAAACCTAGTCATACTCGCAGAACTTTGACCTCATTTTCCCAAAAATTTAAAATTTCGCATTATTTCGGTTTATCATTAAAGGTGCGATATGTCTATCTCCTAGCTAAAATCCTAAAACCAACGTATTTTGTAAAAAAAAGTAGTGGAGCAAAAAAAACAGAATACTCGTAGGCACTATCTAGCCGGTGGCGTAAATCGTTCAATCGAGGTCCGTCTAAGGCGTAAGGTCACAATGTCATAAAAAACTAATGTGTACGTTAAACAAGAGGAGACATCTTAATATGACTAGAGATTATTTTAGGTTATAGACAGTATTGAGATTTATCATTTCAAAAAATATCAGTAGTATTGAATCAGGACCTGGACCAAGTGCATAGCAAATTAGGCGACAATTGAGTTTAACATTACGCTATGCCATAATCGATAATACAGTTCATGCAGTAGTGGCTAGGCACCTACCTTCTGTGCAACATGCTGCGAGATAAATCCCAACACGAATTCATTCTTATGTGGTTTACAAATACAATTTTTGTTATTAGTCCCTAAAAACGAAATATGTTCATTTATTGAAGATGTTCCAACAGTGTGGTCTGTGCTTAAATGAATAGCAGCTCGATTCTACGACATGATAGGAGTGACGCAAGTAAAACTATGTTCCCACAGCTCCACTGCTTTTCCTAGTGTGGGTGGACAGCATGATAAAAATACCTGTTGGTAATCGATAAGGAATATCGATAGAAGTGATTTCGACTTTCGGTTGAAAAAGTAGATGATAGTTTTCAAAAACATTTTCTTTTTATTATCCATTCGAAATGGAACAATGAAGTGATAAATCTTTTGTTTTTTGTTTTGTATCGTACGAAGCTTAAAGCAAGTGTAGGCCATAGCTTTGTTGACCCTGTTAATACCTTTTTGTCTTCTTGTTATCTTCTTTTTCAGAACTCCACTTTTTGGAACATTGAGGTCAGGAACTGACTATATGCGTAATAAAAACGTACCGCGCGTCTCAAAGAGCCATCAGACCACCAACGATGGGGCCCCAATAGGGCTGATGCCGATACGGGGTGGTTTTTAGTCAGTAAGAGTCTGACACTCCCTTCCACCTCATCCAGGCAGGAGCAGTAATTCGATGATTTTCTCCAGTTAAAAATCGAAGATAATAAAACTATGTAACAATCTAAAAATTATTGTTTTGGAATTTGAAGATTGTTGGGGATTCGGAGATTGGGAAGATCGAGAAGGGAGGAGGGTAATGGGGCCACAGTTAACCTCACTTACACAACGAAACACAACGCATGTTGTTTCACGTCGGTTTTCTATGAGACTGTGGTATCACTCCGGTCGAGCCGGCCCATTCGCGCCGAACCATGGTTCTCCCACACGTATTCTAAATAACACGACACAGATGTGGTTTTGGGTGAATAAAGATATAATAAATAGATTCTTTCAGCCCACGTACGGTTAACGGTACTAACATTTTAATAGCCACATTTAGATCCATTTGTTATCAAATTCTCAGTAATCGTATCAGATTTTCTTTTGATGTCAGTCCACGACGACATTATTATTAAATTGTGTATTATTTTTACGTAAGGTTATGAAGATGAGATATTATGCGCAAAGAAATTTGTTTTGATTTCTATAAATACGTTTTGTGCGTGAGCGGTAGTATTAATGGACTGGTAAGGCTTTATTTATGGCGAAAGTACGCTTAAATAGTGATAAGACGGATTTAAGTCCAGAAATGTCCTTATAATTTTAGGGAAGTTAATTATATATACATAGTTAAGTTAATTATTATGTTTACGGCTTATTCACGTAACTATTTGGAGAGGAACTCGACTAGTTTCAAACCAGGTTCATAAGCAGCATTCCGCGACCCGCGACGCGGCGACTATCGAGCACCGCGATAATCGTAGTAGGAAACATAAGAAAAATATAAAGAAAGTATAGTTTTCTACGAAAGGGAGGATTCTCCAACCAGGCGAGGTGATCCTGGCTGGCGGACTACTGCCCAATAGTTATTCGGTGGAATATTCTATTCAGGCTTAATCGCGCGCACACTTGCAAGATGTAAAATTGTATGTCATTCCCTGTCATTTATCGTTGGAATTTCAATGTGCGGTACCACAGTCATTATCAACAACCCATGTACTGATGTATTATGATCCCCTCTATGTAACAAGGTAAACCATAAATTTCATTTTTGGCACTTGTCATACATTTGTCACTATGGGGTAGAGTTCGCAGTTCAAATCCCATTTAACAATGAGCACTCGCATCATTATATGTCATTATATGTGAAGTTTTTTTTTAATAAAACAATTCCCCACACTAGGATTTTCTCCTGTGTCGTGGGTGCGTTTACAAACATGCAAGTTCACATACACATGACACCCAGATTCGGAACAACAATCTGTGAGTCACACAAAAAGTTGTTTCATGCGGGAATAGAACCCGCAATACGTTAGCCAGTAGCCAGTTGCCCAGTCACCGCGCCAACAGTGCAGAGTGTCAAAGTTCCTTGATAGTTATTGTTTTTAATCAGAATTCTTAATACAAATTGGAAGTACTAGTCCATAAATATTGTATTTAGCAAAACATTATCTTTACAACAGGAATCTTAAAATATAGTTAATAAAGAAAAATTGTATGATGTGCCACTAAGAAAGTATTTGATCCATACAAAAAAAAAATCCGTTAAAGTACCTGGTACATTATCATTATTATACTACATACTACCCCCATATAAACGGCATTAACCCTTCTCCAGCCAAAAAGATTAATGTGTCCACACGCAATATACGAACGAATAAATCTTTCGGCTATATTACACGGAAGGAATGTTGCCTTTAGAAATAAGAAGGTGGGTGAACTGAAATAAATAATAACAGTTTTTCATGCTTTGTATGCTCTTTCATTTTTTGTATTTTCCTTTAGTTTGCCATGTTATCCCGCTAATATTACATAACATATCATCTCGCCTTTTATCCCCGAAGAGATAGGCAGAGGGCTCCTCCCCCGTAGATGATAGCGTGATAATATGTAGCCTATATGTTGACCCGACTTGTTAGTAATATTTATGCAAAATTTGAATTAAAAAAGAGTGCAAATACAGACAAACAGACAAACAGACAAAAATTTTAATGGATCACGATCCAAGTATTCTTTTAAAAACTAATAAAATAATATTAACTAAAATAAAATTATTTTAACATCAATACTATCGTAAGATATGGCCCACTCACTACATTATAGTAATATAAGATCTGGTGTGTGTAAACGTCGTGCGCTCCGTTACACTATATTAATAAATTAAAGTAAAACCAATAAGAGTATAATTTAACAATCAACCAACATAACGTATTCTATTTACAGTTTTGAGTTTTCTACGATTTTATTATATGTATACAACAGAAAGATATATTGCATCGATATACTCATCATCACACGATTCATTCTTTGGATTGGCCGTCACGGGTAAAATAGCTATGCAATAAGCTTCACTAGAGTAAGGGGAGAGTGAGCTTACACCCTGTTCTGAGAATCTCGGTGGTCGAAAACGAACTCGCTACCACCTTCATCAGGAAACGTGACTTGAGTAACAAGGTGCTTATTGCCACATCACTTACATTTGATGGTGGTGATAATAACCGCATCTATGACAGGAAGCATTTTTTATAGAGGGTGCAAACGAGTCGACTTTTCTTCAAAGTCAAAGTCAAAGCATTTATTTCAATTAAACCATAATTTGGTACTATTCAAACGTCAACAAATACAAAATAAATAATAGTCTGTCAGTCAGTTCGTCAGTGAAGCTAGGTGAAGCTAGGTGTTCATTCCAAGTAGATTCGAATGGAGAAGAGCGATAAAGAAACTCCATTCGTTACTCTTTTTAAAAAAAAGCACCTAATGGTATGAACAATCAACGTCGTCCATGAACACAATACCGTTAAGTAATCATAAAGGCAGCCAGCGATAGAGTTAAATTTCTATTTTATTATGTTACTATTAAATAATAATATATCTTACCTGAGGCAAACTACACGCAAGTGCGAATGCCCAGGCGCAGAGCAGCATCTGTTTACTGCGCCTGCGTGCCACTGGCAGCCGAAGCGGGTATATGACGGCGAAGAACCTGCAAAAATACAATACGATATAACTAAAACCAATTTACACTTCATTTTATTATTTGAAATACACAAATATAGAATCATATTATGTATGTTTTCATTTAACATATTCCAAGCCTCACAAACATGTCTAAAAATAATTGGTTCCTCCTACACATTACATGTAAATACTGAAGCAGTCGATATAATCTTGAACAATGGAGGAGCTACTTAAATAACCAATATAAAAATGTATAAATATAAATACAAATACATTATGTATCGACATAAACCTAAGCCACTTGGGTTTCACCGAAAAATGAAAGGAAAATTCTCTCAAACATGAATGGCCTACGTGCCCAAACCACGTATAAATTAAACGTATTTTTAGCCCGTAGCGATCTGCTACGACCGCGTAGCACGCGTAGGCCTGGCGTAGGCACGGCGTAGCATTTTGCTGACACACTTAAATATGTATCTAACGTAGGTAGTAGAATTGTTGACCTTATCTACCTGAGTGATAAGGTGTAAAATGCCACATCAACATAAGAATTGTCTTTTAAAAATTGATCAAAATGTTTGGAGTCTACATTTTTGGTGATAAAAACTCTTTTATGTTAGATCGTAACAGTGTTTGTTTTTCCATCAAACACTTTGTAGAACATGATTTTAAAGGTAACTTCGCAGGCCTTTTGCTTTAATAAAGTTGAATTATGTACGGGTTGTTAATTTTTGGGAGCGAACCTTTCACAATAGAGTTTGAGAGCGAACTTTATAGTTAAAATGTTAGGTCTTGACTGGGTTAGTTTGGCAAATAGATATAAAGGTGAAGGGCATTGCTGTTAACAGCATTTTCATGAAGTACTAACTTCTGTTTTATTGGCAACTAGTTCAAGTTTACCTACCGAAGATTGAATTAGATGAAATGTATTGAGATGTTGGTAATGGCCATTTATTAACTACTTTGTTCAAAAAACACACGACTTTTATTTATTTATTTATTTTGGTTAACCAACAATTGTTTACACTATATACATTACTGATTAAATAGCTAGAGAAACATTTACAAGTGCAACAATTAATTATAGGTTAACACCACATGCAAAAAATAAAACGATAAACAAAACATACAGAAAAATAACAAATGATTCCATGGGTGCATATCTATCTCAAAAAGAAAAGAAAAAATACATTAGGATGTCAATTAATAATTATATAAATATGGAATTATTGGAACATTAAATTTAGTTACAGTTGTATAAATTGTATTACAATTATTGCAATTATTGACTTTTGCGAAAGTTTGCTAAAGTTGGTAGTTTCTGTTGATTGCATCACTGAATCTGTTTAACAATAGGAGTGATGTCAGGGTATGAAAATTAAAAATCTAATTATTAAAGATTAAAATTAGTCCCTAAGTTAGGTAATGAAAAAATATTAGACACGTATTTTTTATTTTGTCGTATAATAAAATGATACTTAGATATAACGACTCAAAGTTTAGGAGTGGGGGCTAAAACGTCATTTCAACGTATAAAATGTACATAGAAGTGACGTCACGCGACATTTCAAATCAATATATCGCAAAAAGTATTCGTTTCTGTAAAATAAAATAAAAAATACGTGTGTAATGATTTAAAACAATCTACCAGACGGACATTAAAATAAAAATTAGTCATCTTCCATATTTCTTGATGAAGCAAAGGAGTTATAAACAATCAATCGTCATGACTTTAGTGCTACGATAGGAACTAATTATAAGTTCTCTTATGTAGAGTGCTATGTAAAAATCTAGTTCAGTTGAAGTTAATATGAAAACATTAAATCAAATTTTAAACACGTTTTTTAATTTGATTGAGTTCAAGCTTTATTGAAATAAATTATATTATTATGTACTACCATAATCTACGAGATAGGATAAAAATATTATTATTATACCTCAGATTATTACTTAGTATTAAACTTATTGTCCACGATGAGATGCATACGTAATATACCGAATGAATGCAACCTACAAATGACGATAAGCGAATTTATATAATGAGGAGTAACTGTTTTTTTTTTTTTATCTACGCAGAATACAAATATACGCTTTACAATCGTCTATTAGGTACTTTTCTTAATCAAAAAATAAATTATTTCGATTGTTCAATACAATAGTATATTAAAAAAATAATCAAACTTACATTAATTCGTTTTATGACCAACTTAATAACTATTTGGCAAGTACCCAGTTGACAAAAGTAGTTTACTTGGACGCCTAACGAGCTGAAAAAATTATATCTTAATTCTTATTGCCCAAGAAAACGGCAGGTTAGATCGGCATCATTAATCGGCATCGACCCTATTGGGCCCCATCTGTGGTGGTCTGATGGCTCTTTGAGGTGCGCGCGGAACGCGACGCGCCGTACGCTCGGGTCTGTTTCTGGTCGGACGGGGAGCCACCCATGCTCGCCGTCCGCAGACCCGCGACATTATACCCCTAACTTTACTCCAAGTAAACTACTTTTGTGCACATTACGACACTTAATGTCACTGCACAATATAATACCCACTTTTCATTATTTATGTTTTGAGTCCCATGTAACAGGGGATGACCATTGCCATAAAATATATCGGCTACAATTCCAGACTCCGTGCTTCTACTGAGATTTTTTTAAGACCCTTTAATACTGTAATACGTTGCTAGGCTCAGGAATCGAAGCCGAGGCCCTTTGCCTGGCAGTCACACTTACGAACACTCGGCAGACAAGGCAGTCCGACTCAATAGTAAGGATTCAACAATACATTGGACAATACAAGGCTACATAAAATGCTATTAAACCTTCATAATAGGACGTACAATAGACATCCTAATAAGCACTAAGAACTGGTTTATGATTGGCTGGAGCCCTCACAATAGAGCTTTGGACCTTACAACATTGTTGATAGAATACAATATGGTATAGCCTACATCACTACGTAATAAAAGTCTATGCTTTGAAACGTAGGTACGTTAGGATAGATTGTCTATTTCAGCAAAAATCCCTCGTTTAGTCTTGGTTTTGTAAAGGATTACTGATTTAGTTCTTAGCTCAAAGTGAAGGTCAAAAAATAAGTAACGTTAAACGATATTTAGTTAAGTTATTTTTTTAAAACGTTGCCCCACACTAGGATTATCTCCTGTGTCGTGGGTGCGTTTACAAACATACAATATCATACACACATGATACCCAGACCCGAAATAACAATTTGTGGGTCACACAAATTATTGCTCCGTGCGGGAATGGAACCCGCGACACGTTGCACGGCAGCCGGTTGCCAAGCCACCACATCAACGGTGCAGTCAACACGCAAGTAACATTCATTTATTGAAAGGGAAGACACCAACATAAATATATACTATATCCATCATAATTAATTCCTTCTCAAAGATTAACGTGTAAAAGTGTTACTTTGTACAATATTTGCAGAAATAACTATAATTTATCATTTACACCAAAAATAGTGGTAGTGCTGTATTTGAACTGCTACACTATACTCGAAAACACAATACTACTAGAACTGAACCCTTACAAAGCCCCGAGTACAAGAGGTAAAGAGGTAATACCTACATGTCCTCAATCCGTGCCCATAGTAGAAGGAGATGACGAGTAATTACACCTACTCCTCTCCTCTGAAACGTATTTCAGTAGTGCACAATAATAACGCAGTTTCAATTCACGTATTGTAAGCACTGCTTTGTATTATCTATCCAGTTGAAAGCTTTTAAATAAATATGTTAATGGAATTATAGTGCGGCGAATTACAGCTTAAAAGTGAATGTATATTAACTACCTACTCTACCAACCCTTTCAGAAAAATATCGGGTTTTTCCGACCAGTGTGTTACGTTTTTTTTTTTTCATAGATCATACATATTTTATTCACCATCAAAGATTCTATATTGAATACAAACCTAAAAATTGTTTACATTAAATATCATAATGCATGTTTAATAGGAATGATGACAGGGTATGAAAATTAAAAATCTAAATCGCGACCTTTCAAATCAATATATCGTCGAAAGTATTTGTATCTGTAAGGAAATAAAAAATACGTGTTCAATGTTTTAAAATAATCTACCAGACGGATATTAAAATAAAAATTAGTCATCTACCCTATTACAGGTAAATATAGATTACAAATATTAATATGACACAGTATCTAGTCATAAGGCTATAGGTCCCATGTTTAAATGTGGGAGAGCCATGCTTCGGTACGAATGGGCTGGCTCGACCAGAGTGATACCACGGCCTCACAGAAAACCGACGTGAAACAACGCTTGCATTGAGTTTCGTCGTGTGAGTGAGGTCACCAGAGGCCCAATTATCCCCCTACCCAGTCTCCCGAACCCCGAATCTCCCACAATCCTCAAATTCCCAATTCCCAAAATGCCGGTAACGCACTTTTAACACCTCTGGTGTTTCAGTATCCATGGGCGGTGCGGATTGCTTACCGTCAGGTGATCCGTGTGCTCGTTTACCGGCTTATTCCATAAAAAAACGTAAAGAGAGGATATAGTTTGTATCAAACTAATGACTTTGGCTGTATAATGAAATCAAAGTCATTCAATATCATTAAGCGCATAACTACGCAATATTGCACCTTAATGCATACACATTAAAGCCGATGCTTTCATCGACATTAATGATGGAAAATCGGCCAGGAAAACATTCATTAATTTAGGAAGCTTATCTGCGTGAAATTGGTGCTATCGATAAACGATATTTTGTTGATTGATGGTTTTGCATCAATTATAAGTATCGATATTGATGGAGATGGTACATGGAGCTCACTTCAGAGGCATCAAACTACAGAATATGGAAAGCAATATATGAAACCCTATTGGCCTTTACTGGCGTTGGTTATGATTTTTATCGAATAAAAAAAAAATATGAGGTATAGCGGGGACTAACCTATCAGTAGGTGGGTAACATATCAGTATTAATATAGAGGTATATGCTTTTTAGATTTTACTTCTTGTTTATTTTTAGTTTTTGGGTTTT